GAAATACCAGAGGATGGGTCACTGCCTTAGACTGGTACCATACGCTAATGGATGATAAGCCTTTTGTAACGATGCCCATATGTAATGCTACCATTACCATATTTGTGCCTTGATCATGAGACTTGCCTTGTTGCATGCAATATATATTGTGGATGTTGCATCTTGTCATTTTGTTGTATCATGCATCATGATCATCCTTGTTTGCTTTGCGTGATTATTTTTGTGCTGTGATCTTGTGATCTCCATCCTTTTCCCTCCATCATGCAATGTCCACCTGCTTCCAAGCTAAACCAAACCATGATCAGATGTTTTGTTGCATTCAAAGTGGCATGATGATATTTGTGTCAGAATAACTTGTGTTTTCCAAATGGTCGTATTTTGAGTCTTACAAATCCAAATGCCATGATATTTATATATATTTCTTCTCAAATTTTCCATTCTTTCCAGTGGTGGCTTTTGTTCTCAGATTTGAGCTACCAAAATAATGGAGATCACCGATGAAATGAAGAAACTAGATATTGATCCATATTAATTGTCGTGGCTTTAGTACAACTTTAGCAGCAACAGTTAATATGGATCAAAGGGAGTAGAAGATATCACTTCTGTGCCGGTTATGATTCAGCTTCTCATCTCGAATAAAGCTGAATCAAAATGTTGGACATTTAAGTCATTTTAGTGGGTCCTAAATATTTCGGTGGCATGTGCATCTGACCCAAATTCATACAGAAAACAAATTAACTTGGTCATACTTCCAAAATTCAGTGCTCAGACAAATTTATGATAACAAATTACAAGTCATTACTTCACAAACAAGAGAGGAACACAGTTTAGAGAATATAACTCTGATAGGAGTAGCTTAATTCTTGACATATATTTCAACATATAGAAATCAGGCTTTTAGTCTTTCAGAATTCAGAGGCTATATAAATCAGTAGAGCCAGAGCAGCCGTCCATGCCCACCCAATTCTGGAGCGACCTTGGAACGGGAGGTACCTGGACATCCAGAACGCCTTGTAGCATCTGAACAACTTGCCCCATCATCGGCCTATGATCTTCAGCATCTTGAATGCACCAGCATGCAGTTCTGCAAACCCTCATCAGCTGCTCCACATCCACATCCACATCGTCTTCCAACCTGCTATCCAGCAGGCACATAACATCTCCTTCATTCACCTTCACTGCAGCAAAGATGGGAAAGTAAGTAAACCTCCCCTGTTTGATTTTCTCCGCATTCCTTCGCCCTGATACGATTTCAAGAAGCATCATTCCGTAGCTGTAGACATCAGCCTTATGTGTGATCGGTAGCCCTGAGATCCACTCCGGCGCAAGGTATCCGATGGTCCCACGCATCGTTGTCAATGCCCTGCTAAAATCCCGGCCAAGAAGTTTGGCCAAACCGAAGTCTGCAACCTTAGGACAGAAATCTGCGTCAAGGAGTACATTGTCCGGCTTCATGTCGCAGTGTATGATGCAATCCATGCATCCCTCATGCAGGTAAGCCAAGCCTCTTGCAGTTCCGAGTGCTATGCGGTACCGGAGCTCCCATACCAAAGTTGCCGGGCTTTTCGGAAACAGATGAGAACTCAAAGATCCATTCTCCATGTACTCGTACACCAGCAGCCTTTTACTTCCTTCGGCGCAAAATCCAAATAAACGAACAACATTGATGTGTTGGATCATTCCAATCGTCTGCGCTTCCGCTCGGAATTGCTTCTCCCCTTGTCCAAAGTCTTTTAGCTTCTTGACAGCCACCAAAGTGGAGCCTTGCAATGTTCCCTTGAAAACACAGCCAAAGCCTCCTTCTCCAAGCTTTACCGAGAAATTTCCGGTAGCTTTCTTTATTTGTATGTTCGAGAAGATCGTGAGGCTGCTGTTCGAATTCACCGGTCTATCCATAACCGACTTCTTCTGAATTATCCACAAAAGAACTAGAGCAGTGAGGAGGAGGGTTAACACAACTATCACTGTCAGAATAACAACACTATGAATCTTATGATTATGTGGAGCATGAGCAGACCACAACACAGATCCACATTCCCCAAGTTTAGCTGCGGTAATAGTACCATCTTTATTCAGCTGTACATATACACTTGCATCACTGAACAGGAAGAAATTGCCTCCATCTTCATGTATCCCCATCCAGCTGGGGAAAGTGCCGTGATAAATTTCATGAAAATTTTCCTTGACAATAAACCCTCCACCTTGGTTTGGATTCATAGCCAGAACTATACCATTCGCCGCCTCGAGTGGTGCACCATCTGCTTCCCCATTTCTCCAGGATATAACAGAAGCATGGGGAATAAGGAAGACGTTCTTGCTCGTGTTTCTGTTAAATCCCAGCCATCCTCCAGGCAGCAGTGTACCAATTGGATTATCAAAGCTTTGCCAGATCACCAGTGAACTGTTCACTGGATCTCTTATTACGAGATTTCCATTGTCAAGGAGCACTGTGAGTAGAGAATCACTATCTATAACGTGTGATGAAGACAGATCTGAAGACCATCCATTTACTATACCGTTAACTGGATTACAGTATAGTTGTAAGTTGCCATAGGTTGTGAAGCCAAATCTTGAGTACAAAGGGTAACAGTCTATGGAATCACCAAGGGGCGACCAAACTAGAAGAGGGCGACAAGCTGACGACTTAATATACCATATGCCAAACCTATAATCATAACCACAACGAGGAAACACGCAGTCGAAACCCAACTTGAAAGCACCGTGTTTCGAAAGCAAGGTCTGGTTACCAGTTAGAAATTGGCCCGGAAAGAGAGCATCAGTTGCATACGCAGATTTAAAACCTGGAGACATGACCTTGATCATCAAGTAGAGAAGTATTACTGCAAAGGGAGACGACGAAGGCATATGCTTGGTCTTGGTTGGCTTCTCCATTTGGCTTCTCTATGTGGATGCTCTAACTCCAAACACTCAACCAGCTCCAAAAGCAAATGTCAAGTCCAGGGTGGTGACCTATAAATGTTTGGACTGAATAAAAGCAACTCCAAAAACAATCAATAAACTCCCAAAGTGAGTGGAATTCTAAGGTCCAAGCGTGTGGAAACTATTGAGTCATGCATGACCAAGTCATAATCAAACTTGCCTGCTGGACCATCAGTAATTTTATTTGCAGAGAGGCCAACCAGGACCAGGCAAAGCTGCTGTGGAGCGAGACGCTTGGTTGAAAAAACAGCCAAGTGACACGGACGGCATTGAATGTTGGGTTGAAGACTGCTGACCCTGGAAAGCCACTGGATAATCTCTACAACCATTTTAAGCAAAAGAAAATGTACAAGGCTTGAGTTCATCCCATTAACAGAGGAATTGAGGCGGTGCTTGCTTGTTACTCAGAGCTACTCCCTCCGTTCCAAAATAGATGACTCAACTTTATACTAACTTTGTAGTACAAAGTTGAGTCATCTATTTTAGAACCGAGTATCTAGCAGGGTTCATGCGAGACAATACAGGGAGGATGACGACTCACCTCGAGGCCGCTCATCCGGTGCAGACGCTGCCTTTGCGGTGGTCAGTTTCTCCAAGTATATATCTAAGCAGGCAATGTTCATGCAATTTCATCAATGTTTCAGCTAGTAGAGAAATTGGTGAGGCATGTACCTACGAAGCAGCAGGTTTCAGGGGACAAATGTTTGTGAAGAACTAATGTATGTACCCCCCAGCATGCATGCTTCCTCAACATCAATCTATCAGCTCAGAGCAAGTAAGCTCCTTCAAGCTAACAAAGCAAAACTAATCAAACCAAATCATGTCTTGTCCCGCAAGACACCTCTCATGACATAGTAACCCACAGGCATCACTGGTCTTACTCTGTTTCTTACTCAACCTATCCTTGCCTAGTACAGACAGACAGACAGAAGAACATACTAGTACAAACAGCTCGACCCTCGGATCACGTCCTTCCTTCTCCCTCCCTATGCTACACAGGCTAGCTAGCACAGCACAAGTACTGGCATGACATGCACCACACCCACCACCTTGTCTGTCCATTCTATGGCTCCTTCACCACAGCCTTGAGCGCATTACCGGCCGTCACCCTCAGCGGCACGAAATCTGGACATACGCAAATGTCTGTCTGTCAGCACCACCCAATCTTTGCTCCATACATACTACGCAGGCATCTCCTGCGGATTTAAACAGAAATAGGGTAAAACAAGCTTTACCTGATAGAAACTTGTACCGCTTCTCATTGCACACCGCCGTCGCTGACAAGATAGGAGAGCAGAGTCGACGTAAGATTATGATTTTATATTAACTTGGAATTGATAGAAGGTTCAGATTTATCAACACCAACAGTAGATGAACTGATGATAACTTTAGGTTACCTGCAGTTTTTTTAAATAAAGAACCTTCAAGTCTTTGGAAAGTAAGATTGGGGATCCAATAAAACATGTCTGGTTCTTTGAAAAACAAACTTGATATCAAATTTGCTAACACAATACCCAATGTATCAAGCGCTAATACAGGCTAAGGATTGCAACCGACAATAGCAAAACAGATACCCACTTCAATTACTCATGCAAGATGTCCTAGGGGATGTGACATAGCCTACTCAGACAAGAGTGGCAAAAACCATCGTAACAATAGGATAAGACATTATGACCACTTGCTTTACTAATGGGTATCAAATCAAATGCATCCACTGGGTGGTCTACAGGGGCTCTTTATTTCGACATGAACTGTCTTTCAGGCAGCAAAGTCAACAAACAAGATAAATGGGTTCCTAAATAAGAATACAGCGAACACAAGGAGGGTCGACTTACAAAGGTTCTCGTAGGTAATTGACTTTTTACGTTCCTTCAGGGCATTCTGATGAGCATCCTTGGCAAATACCTCCAAGAATAACTCCTGCAGGTGCATGTGTAACATGAATATATATAACACGGTAACACTATCCAGTTCAAGATTCAGTACATGTCATAATCACTGCATACCAAAAGAAAATGGCATTGGTACATAAATACAAGTTGCAACAAAGATAAACGAGGTACACCAGCCACTGTTTTCCCATAACACACTTTTGAAATACTCCCTCTGTAAACTAATATAAGATCATTTAGATCACTAAGTAGTTTACAGAGGGAGTATCATGCAAGCAAAGAGAAGCCACTCCAACAATCTTATCCTTGCTTACTGTTACTTTTCTTGTCACATGCATGTCGTAATTACTCCCTGTCGTTCTCACTTCTCAGGATTATTTTTTACTGGTTGGGCGTCGCTTCAGGGTAGCTCACATTACATTTCCTAGAATTCAAGAGGCTATTTTATAACTGAACTTTTTAGAACAAGAATGATCTAAACTTTTTAGAACAGGAATGATGACAGTCTAATAGCATCCTCACTGAAACTGAAATCCGTGCACATTACAGAAGTCTAAGCACCAGAACTCACTTGGCAGATTGGAAATCTGAAATTTGAATCAGCAGAAATAGACAACACTATCCAGTTGAAGATTCAGTAGATGTCATAATCACTGAGTACCAAAAGAATGGCACCGGTACATAAATACAGGTTGCAACAAAGATAAACAGGATACACCAACCATTGTTTCCCCTCAATATTTTTCAAAAAAATGAAAAATGCTCAAACAGCAAGCAAAGAGAATCATTTGGTTGGGGGGGGTCTGACAATTTTAGCCTTGCTTTGGGTCACTTATCTTGTCACGTGCATGCCATAAATACTCTCCGCCTAAATAAAAGATAAAATTGTTCTCAGGTCAATTTTCCTTCTTTTTTTTATTGTTCGGGCATCACCTTCAGGCTAGCTCGCATTATCTTGTCTAGAATTCAAGACACTGGATTTTTTAATTGAACTGAACTTTTTAGAACAAGAATGATGTCGTTCTAATAGAATATGTTCCCAGTCAGATACTTGGATGACCTCATCAAGCTTATAATTCTTATGAACCTGGATGCCATATAAATGTAAATTATCATTAGCCCCATGCAACCTTTTTAGTTGACAACTGAAATCTACATGAGTTGGTGCACTACAGGAAGGGAACTATGCAATCAGGCCACGCTTGTTATACCACACTGTCAGCTTACACAGGTCAACTTCCTCATCATTCTGCTATGCTGCAGGTACAGTTTAATCGTGTTGAACCAAAAAAAACTTAATCTAGTGATCGATGAATGGATAATTACATATACCAATCCAGGGGAAAAAATATTTTTTGCTACTAAGCCAAAACAAATCCTCCTTGGTCAGTGAGTGAAGAATTATAGGCGGTTGGTGCTATGAACTTGTGATCACTTCAGCAGGAGAAGTAAGAAACAAATTGAAATCCATGCGCGTTACAGAAGTCTAAGCACCAGAGTTCACTTGCCAGGCTGGAGATCCGAAATTTGAATTAGTTGCATATACAGCCGTCTTGTTTGGTGCTTGAAAAAAATTACAAGAACCAATTTGAATTTTGCTGGAAAACTAAGCACCTGAGTTTGCAAGATACAGAAAGAGACATAACGGAGATGAATCAAACTCTTGGAGCAAGTAGAGGCAATGGGAGGCGGGCAGTGCAGTGACTATGTACTTGTGCATAGCATTGTTGCTGCTTTGATTATGGACAAAACCACTACAACTGGTAGCATTAGCCAGCTTTAAGAACAATGGTGGTGGGCTGGCAGCACTGCACAACTGATGGGGATTTGAGATGTATCAAACACCAAGCAAACTGGCTGGTTGGGGTAATCTAGGATTCCTTCTATTCGTCTTTCGGATGATGGCTGAAGCTTAATATTCCAGTGCAAATCTTACTACATATAAATAAAATTGTAAAACAAACATCTCATCAACTAATTTAGCTCATCCATGACATTTATGAATTTACAAAAACAATATGCTTAATGTAAGCCTGGGAATATTAAGCTACATAATGAGAAATCTCATAAATTTAGCTAATCCACAACTTACTAACAATCACATACAAGTTCAGCAATAATAGAGACAATCTAGGGATACAATACCATGTTACTAACACTGGTCATATTCTTCCATCCAAAAAATGAACACCAATTCTCCTCTCTAGATAACACAGTTTCCTAAATAAACCACTACAACTAGAATCGCTGTGCTGACTAAGATATTTCAGGTGGATATGCTTAGGAAATAAACTGAAGCAAACAACATGGACCAAATGGGCGCATATATAGCAGAAATAGACAGCACTATCTACAGACCACTGCATAGCATACCCTTGTCTACAGTTTGGTACTGGTAGTAGCAGAAGGGGACACAGATTATTGTGCTGAAATTTGGCTTAACACAAAATCAATCTTCTGCATCTCACACAACTTTACACTAGTATACTAGCCGAGGGTAGAGACAAAACATTTGACAGTGAGAACACGCCAGACAAATTAATCGGACACCTTGCGTGCGCTGACGGGCTGATAGCACGACCAATCTAAATCTCGCTAGCTAACATAGATTCCACCCTAAATTATGGCATTCTGATAGAATGACATCAAGCTTCAGTCCTCCAGTTTCTAATTGGTACTGTAATTGCCAACACAGATCACTGCATAACTTGCATTCAGATTTCAGAGTAAAAGTGGGGGAAGAAACAGTACCGAGGCCTTGTTGACGAGGAAGACGGCCTCATTGTTAGATCGGATGGTGGCGTCCTTGTCCCGCATCAGCAGCCGCACCCGCGCCATCGGGAAGCTGCAGGTGCCCGGCTCGGCGGCCACCGGCGTCGCCCCTGCCGCCTTGCCCTTCTGCTTCTTCGCAGGCGAAGAGCCATTCTGCCCGCTCTTCGCCGCATTTGGGGATTCCAGATCGCCGTGCTTCCTCTTGCTCGGCGTGGCCTTCTCCGCCCCGCCGGAGGCCTGCTGCTTCTTGGTGGGCGTGGCCTTCTCGGCTTTGCCGGGGCTTTTCTTGGCGCTCTTTGCCTCCTTCTGGGGTGTCTTGCTGGGCGTGGTGGCCTTCTCAGCGCCGCCGGAGGAGGCCTGCTTCTTCTTGGTGGGCGTGGCCTTGTCAGCTTTCTTGGCCGCCTTCTGGGGTTGGGGTTCCCCGGCGTCATCGCGCTTCCTCTTGCTGGGAGTCTCCTTGGCCGCCCCGTCTGACGCCTGCTGCTTCGTCTTCTTGGGCGTGGGCTTGGGCTTCCCCGCTTCGCCGGACGGCTCCTGCTTCCCAGATCCGGATCCGGGCTCCGCCGCCTCGCCGCCCTTCTTCTCCTTCTTCTTTGGGGTCGCCGCCGCGTCCCCCTTCTTCTTCTTCTCCAGGTTCGCCGGCTTATCCCCCTTCTCCTTCTTCTTCTTCGGGGTCGCCGCCTTCTCCCCCATCTCCTTCTTCTCCGGGGACGCCGCCATCTCCCCCATCTCCTTCTTCTTCTTGGTAGCAGCCTTGTCCCCCTTCTCCTTCTCTGGCGCCGCCGCCGCCTTGTCCCCCTTCTCC